TCTCTCTCTCTCTCTCTCTCTCTCTCTCTCTCTCTCTCTCTCTCTCTCTCTTTCTTTCACTCTGTCTCTCTCTCTCTCTCTCTCTCWCTCTGTCTCTCTCTCTCTCTCTCTCTCTCTCTCTCTCTCWCTCTCTCTCTTTCTTTCWCTCTGTCTCTCTCTCTTTCTTTCACTCTGTCTCTCTCTCTTTCTTTCTCTCTCTCTCTCTCTCTCTCTCTCTCTCTCTCTCTCTCTCTCTCTCTCTCTCTCTCTCTCTGTCTCTCTCTTTCTTTCACTCTGTCTCTCTCTCTCTTTCTTTCTCTCTCTCTCTCTCTCTCTCTCTCTYTCTCTCTCTCTCTCTCTCTCTCTCTCTCTCTCTCTCTCTCTCTCTCTCTCTCTCTCTCTGTCTCTCTCTCTTCTTCACTCTGTCTCTCTCTCTCTTCTCTCTTGTGTCTCTCTCTCTCTCTGTCTCTCTCTTTCTTTCACTCTCTCTGTCTCTCTCTTTCTTTCACTCTGTCTCTGTCTCTCTCTGTCTCTCTTCTCTCTCTCTCTCTCTCTCTCTCTTCTAAATAAAATATTAAATGGGGGGTTAGGGTATGGGGCTATCTACAGGTACAACACCTACCTCTGCCTGAACTATACGTTCAAGTATCTGATGCAAGGTATCGTTGAGCGTACATTTGACTACCCGTTCAGAGTTTTCCCGAAACTCCAGCGCCTTTTTAACTGTAATATCCAGATTGTTGTACGTCTTTTCAGCGGCTAAATGCTACACCAAATATAACACATACCGGTGCCCAACAACAACAACAACAACAACAACGATAATAATAATTAGTATAGTAATAAAAACAAACAAATAATTTTTTGTTTTGGTTTCATATTTACAATGACATCAAACTTTGCATAAACGTCGACAACTTTTGATCGTTTGTCTACGACAGGCAGTGCCGAAACCCGACGTTCAATAAACTGGTGCAACACTAGTATGAGCGGTGTTGTCATTGTGGTTACCGCTATGTTTTCATGGGTGCCGATCATCAACTCCTTGAGCTGTTTATTCAGATAGGATGGCATTGGAAGTCTATTGTAATACTATAAATAGATAGAGAGAGCACAGGTAGGTTAATATACATATACATTATTATATGACTACTACTACTAGTAGTACTTACGTATAGGAATAGGTATTTCAAAATTCGTTTGTGTGTCAGTATGTATAATACATTTCCCGTTTCTGAATCAATAACCGGCAATCGGTGAACCTTTTTATGTATTAACAGTTTGATTGCATTGAATAGACTGTAGTAGTCATCCATGTAGTAGTAATCCCGGGGACGGGTAGGTAATCGGATAGTTAGTTAGTAATACAGTATATACAGTCCAAACAAACATAGCAAACGGTTATTATTATTGTTGTTGTTGTATAACAACCAGACAATGATAGGAACGGTAGATAAATATGCGGAAAAAATAAATAAAATTAATTAATTATAAAAAAAATTAAAAATCTAAATGTTTTGTTATATATATATATTGCTATTTGTAGTCAACTGACCTCTCATCGGGACCGATGCTGACTAGTGGCTGAACAGTGGATGACTCTTTGAGGACGTCTATTAAAATAGTAGTAATAATAATAATATAAATTAATTTTTTTTGACAATAAATTATATTTTAATTAATTTATAGATATATATATATATATATAAGTTTATATTTAGTAAGTATTGAATTATTTTCTAATATCTATTACATGTATTAGTGATTTATATATATATATATATATATAATTAAATATTATGTAATTATTAATAAGTTATATAATATATATATATATAAATAGAAAAATAAGTCATTTAGAAAATTATTTAATTATATAACTAATAATACAATTTATTATATACAGTATAATTAAATAAAAGTCTAATAATAATAATTGTTATTATTGTTGTTGTTTAAACATTATTTACAAACAATTTATTTTATTTTACTAAATCATAAATTAAACTGTAATTAATTAAATATTTACATTTAAAAATTAATGTACCGGTGTAAAATGTATTTAAATTATGTATAATACAATTTAAATAAAATTGACATATAAATTACAATTTATATAAGCTAGATAAATATATATATAATTTATATATATTTGTATGTGTATGTATGTATGCGTGTGTGTATGTGTATGTGTATGTGTATGTGTATGTGTATGTGTATGTGTATGTGTATGTGTATGTGTATGTGTATGTGTATGTGTATGTATGTGTATGTATGCGTGTGTGTGTGTATGTGTGTGTATGTTGTGTGTGTATGTGTGTGTGTATGTGTATGTGTATGTGTATGTATGTGTATGTGTATGTGTATGTGTATGTGTATGTGTATGTGTATGTGTATGTTGTGTGTGTATGTGTGTGTGTATGTGTGTGTGTATGTGTATGTGTATGTTGTGTGTGTATGTGTGTGTGTATGTGTGTGTGTATGTGTATGTGTATGTGTGTGTGTATGTTGTGTGTGTATGTGTGTGTGTATGTTGTGTGTGTATGTGTGTGTGTRTGTGTATGTGTATGTGTATGTGTATGTGTATGTGTATGTGTATGTGTATGTGTATGTGTATGTGTATGTGTATGTTGTGTGTGTATGTGTGTGTGTATGTGTGTGTGTGTAATGTAATAATATTATTATTAATATGCATTTTACTGTATCTAAGTGGCTAATAAATTTTAATAGCGTGCAAACTGTATTTAATATAATAAATATATAAATTTATATACAGTATATATATATATATAATAAATATACCATGCATAAATTATTACCATATATATCTATTTATATAGATTAGTATATATATATATAATTTGTATAAAAAATTTTACTACAATATACGTAAATACATAACCAATTATTATTATTTTTTTGTTGACTAAATTCATAGATAATTATAGCAATTATTATTATTATTGATAGTAACATACAATTATAATGTTTGTTATAATGAGTAATATACTGTATATATATATATAATTATTATAACATTTTGAAAAAAATAATATATTTTTTTATATAATATGTCTGTCTGTCTAACTGTCTGTCTGGCTGTCTGTCTAAGTGTTTGTTTGTTTGTTTGTTTGTTTGTTAGTCAACCTGTAATTAAGTGTATATTTTTTGTGTCCTATTATAATAAAAATCATCAGTAAATTTACATAAATAAAAAAAAATATTTATATTAATACTACAATTAATAGTAGAGTAATTATAATAATAATGATAATCAATTTTTTCCATCAAATATATTTTTTTGCCGTAAATTTCAAAATAATTTTTTCATAATAATAATAATAAGCTATATGTAAATTTATACGGTATATACTGTATATGTACAGTATATATATATATTATATATAAACTGCTAGACATTATCAATTGATTTAAGCGACAAAAAAATGTTCAAGGTTATCTATCTAACTTTTATATGTCTAAATGATAATTTTCATATATATATATATATATAAATTTACAGTAACTTTATATATATTAAAAAAAATTGATGTTTACATATGGCCTGTAAATGTTTATCCATAAAACTAAACTAAATATATATATATTAATAAAATGATATTTGGTTTGTATTTTAATATACACATTAAAAAATAATTTAATGCAAAAAAATATTAATAAATTTAAAAAAAAACTAAAAAATTCTTTACATAAAAATGTTTATACATTAAAAAGTTATTTAATATATCCATAATTATTTTTTTTTAAATTAAATAATTTATCTATAATATACTGTATAAATAAAAATATATATATATATTTAAATTACTTATTTTATTTTTAAAAAATATGTATAACTTATTAAACATAATAATATTTCAGTATTAATATTGATTATTCAATAATAATAACAACAACAACAATCAAACTATATATTTATGTTAAATAAAATTTGATAAAAATTTTTTTTTTTAGTTAATAAACAACCAAAAAATAAATAAAATAAAATAAATTATAATTAAACGCGTCATTGATTATGATTAACATATATTAATCAATTTAAATTTATGAGTCTATAATATTATATATATATATATATATATATATACTGTATATATATATATATATATATACTGTATATATATATATATATATATATACTGTATATATATATATATATATATACTGTATATATATATATATATATATATATTCAATAAATATTTAATTAATCTCATAAACCTACACTAAACTACACCTACAATAATAATAAAAACTAATAAAAAAAACAAAATTAATATAAATATATTTTTTTTATATATTATTCAATTAACATTCAATTTAGTCATAATTTTTATATTCAATGAATAAATATTAATAATAATAATAATAATTATTATTATTATTATTAATAAAATGACAAAAATTTTTCGTAATAATAATAATAATTAATATTATTATAAATTAAATATTAATTACTAGTGACACACACATAGACTGAATAATAATCAATTAATTACTATTAGACTTATTGTATGCAATCATCAAAAATAATAATAATAATAAAAAAACAATTAAATAATACGTAAACAAATTAAAAATCAAACAATAGTTTAGTTTATAATTAAAAATAAATTATTTGCATATATATATATATATACAGTATATATATATATAGTATATACTGTATATATATGAGGAGATAATGACTTTTAGGAAATACTGTATAATAATAATAGAGAAAAACGTTGTTTTTCGTTAAAATATAATTTAATATAAATTATTTATAATCTTCAATATGTGTCTACTTTTTACTACAACAACAACCAAAAAAAAAACTATCTATTTATACACTTATCTATCACTTTCAAAAAAAAATAAATTATATATATATACGTATATTATAAGGTTTATACACATATAAATTATAGTAGTCATAGACAAACAAAATACTGTATATATATATATATAACAAAAAATAAGTATATATACAGTATATATATATGTATAGCATATAATATATATATATATATATATATATTAAACCTTGCATTCATGTCTAAAGTCACGAAAATATGTTTGTCTACCAAAAAAAAATACAATATATATATAATTTTATATAATACCAAAAAAAACAACTAAAACTAACACAAAAAACTTATTTTTTGTTGTTGTTAAGCAAACAATTAGATATTAAAAATAATAATAATAATAATAATAATAATAATAATAATAATAATAATAATAATAATAATAATAAAGGAGGCACAGTGGTGTAGTGGTTAGTGTGTAGGGCTAGTAGAGTAATGGAGAGTAAGATCGTGAGTTCGAGCCCTGATGTGGAAAGCAATTTTTCTGAGAAAAAAAAAATTGTTTTAACTGTGCTTCCCGTCCCTGCCCAACCAACGCTGTTTAGGACGGCCAACTTAAGTAGTATGGGGAAAGCGGGGTGCTAAGTGAGGACGAGTTTCTGCCCGACCCGGGTATCGGTACTTCGGTATCGGTGCCCACCTGGGGGTACCCGCAAGGGTGCTCCCACCCGGGGGTGCCTGTAAAAAGGTGCCCCCACCCCGAAGGGACGTCCGCAAGGATGTCCCTTCACCCTTCGAGTAGTTACTCGTCCTCACACGCAATGGCCACTTTTGTTTCAAAAAAATAAAAATAAAAATCCTATTTCAACAAACACATGTTAGTGGTGAGAAATGGGTGGCAATAGACACATGTTAGTGTTGAGCTTTCTCTAGGGACCGGGACCCCGTAAAAAGGCCACAAAATATATAAATATGATTACACGTAGTCGTAGGAATAACGGGGGGTGTTCGGGAGGTACCCTCTCAAATAAATCCCGCGTTCAGCAGGTAGGCATTGACTGCTGTTCGTTAAGTATGCATCATATCCCACGCAGTGATGTGCTATGCGGGCAAAGCTGTGATGTAATGCGACCGCAGACTAGTCAACAAAATCAGACTAACCTCCAAAATGTTTCAGTTCAAGCTGGTTCTCAGCAACAACTGACCAATTTGGTTGACAAATCGCAAAAGCGCATGAGATGGACACATGAGATGAATACCTTGATAATGCGCGAATACTACAGATCAACTCGACTCGAAACAAATATGACTGATTACAGAAACCAAATATACTTAGCATTCAAACAAAAATATCCAGAACTAAATGTAACGGAACAAAGAATTGCAGACCAACGGCGATTCTTAGCAAAGAATAATAAAATATCCCCGATTGAATTACAAGAAATCAAACAACAAGTGGCACATGAACTATCATTAAATGAAACAACTGAATTAAATACCACAGTAGAAGTAGTGCCAGAAATAGAAGAGACACCTACAACAACAGATAACATAAACAATACAAATGATGAAATAAAAAGAATAACAGCAGAAAATGAACTAAAAACATCTTTAGAACAATATAAAGACTTTGAAATAGAATTCAGACCTAAATTACCAAAAATAAGAAGTGGCATTAAAACAAGATCTACTATAATAACGATAAATGATATACTTAAAGATTACATCGAAGAAAATATGTCGTTGAGCGCAATTAATACAATAACGTATTGTGCAGCAGTAGCAGTATCGAGACTCTTAGGCTACAAAATAGAACACATGTCTACAACAAAACCAAATCAAGAAAATGTAATACCTAAATGGCAAAAGCGAATAGATACACGGATAGAAGGGAAAAGAAAAATAATTGGAAGAATAACGCAAGTGTTAAATGGAATCAAATCAAAAAGACTTAACCAATCATTAAAAGATATATACCGATCATTACAGACAAAACCTGGAAAACCTGAATTTGAATCCATAATCCGAAATTACAACGACACATTAAAACAAACAGTTCAAGCACTATCACAAAGAATTAGAAGATATAAAATACAAAGCGAAAGACGAAAACAAAATACAATGTTCTATAATAACGAAAAAATGTTCTATAGAAATCAAAATAAAATAAATTCAAGCAATAATAACAATACACCACAAATAGATGAAATAGAAAACTACTGGAAAGAAATCTGGAGTAACCCAAAGGAATATAAAGAATCTAATTGGATAAATGATATTGAAGATGAAAATAAAAAAATACCACATATGACTTCAGTAAATATAATTAAAGATGACTTAACCGAAGCCCTCAATAAATCCCACAACTGGAAAAGCCCAGGACAAGACAAAATACAAAACTTCTGGTATAAACACTTTACAACAGTTCATCAACCAATGGCAATAGCAATGAATAAAATAATACAAACAGGACAAACCGATGACTTCCTCACTTCCGGAATAACATATCTACTCCCAAAAACAGAAAATACATCAGATCCCAGCAAATATAGACCAATCACTTGCCTAACAACAATGTATAAAATCCTAACATCCATAATATCAACAAAAATATATAATCATTTAAGTAACAACAACATAATAGCTGAAGAACAAAAAGGCTGTATAAAACACTCAATGGGTTGTAAAGAGCAATTAACAATAGACAATATCATAACAATAAGAGCTCGTCAAAAACATAGAAATCTTGAAATGGCATACATAGACTATAAGAAAGCATTCGATTCAGTCCCTCATAAATGGTTATTAAGAGTGTTAAAACTATATAAAATTGACAACACACTGATAAACACATTAGAAAATATGATGAAAAAATGGAATACTAAATTGTGTGTCAATACAAATAATGGAACAAAAATAAGTACAGAAATCAAAATAAATAGAGGAATATTTCAAGGAGATTCACTCAGTCCTCTGTGGTTCTGCTTAGCTATAAACCCACTGTCATCACTACTTAAAAAGCTAAAAGGCGTAAATCTAAAATCAAGTGATACAAAATATAATCTAACACATCTACTATATATGGACGACTTAAAACTATACGCCGAAAAAGAATCTGATTTAAATGCAATGCTAAAAACAACAGAAACTTTCTCCAATGATATAAATATGGAATTCGGATTAGATAAATGTGCTATAATGAAACTGAAAAAAGGAGTCTATTCTGAAAGAAATCAATACGAAACTGATAACGGATATATAAAGGCACTAGAAAATGGAGATATATATAAGTATTTAGGAATTAAGCAAATGCATAAATCTAAAATGACAGAAGTTAAAGAAGAAATAAAGAAAACATTAAACCAAAGAATAATAAAAATACTAAAATCTCAACTAAACTCAAACAACAAATTCAAAGCCATAAACACTTGGGCTATACCTGTACTGACATACTCGTTCGGAATAATAAAATGGAGTAAAACAGAACTTGAGACCATTGAAAGACATATAAGGCGACAACTTACAATGTTTGGACTACACCACCCTAGAAGTTCTGTAGCACGACTGTGTGTTAGTAGAAAGCATGGGGGTAGAGGGTTACTAAACATTGTAAGCCTTGAAGCCAAACAGCGAGAATTGCTGAGAAAATACCATCAACAAAAATGCAATGTCTCAGAGCTCCACAAAATAACATCAACACTTGATTACAACTACACACCTCTAAATCTCAGCAATAATGAACATCAAATAGAAATACAAAATGAAAAAGAAAGGATTAACACATGGGCCTCAAAAGAACTCCACGGTAGATACAGAGCAGAACTCAACCAAACACACGTAGACGAAGAAATGTCTACAAAATGGTTGAAGTACGCCGGTCTTCATGGAGAGACAGAGGGGTTCATGATGGCAATACAAGATCGAGTGATTCCGACACGAAACCATCAGAAATACATCCAAAAGCTAAATATACCAACAGACAAGTGCAGGATGTGTCATATGGAGTCCGAAACAATAGAACATATACTAAACGGGTGTAAAGTACTCACAAACACCGAGTACCTAAGCCGTCACAACCAAGTAGCCAAAATCATACATCAGGAATTGGCAATAAGATTCGGACTAATCAAAGAACCATTACCATACTATAGATACGAGCCACAAAGTGTAATGGAAAGCAACAGAGCCAAGCTCTACTGGGATAAAGAAATAAGAACAGATAAGACTGTGGCCCACAACCGCCCAGATATAGTACTAGTAGACAAACATCAAGATAAGGCATACATAATAGACATAGCGGTCCCACTAACACACAAACTACAGGACACGCATAGTGAGAAACGCCGAAAATATACAGACTTGGCCTATGAGATCAATAAGATGTGGCGCATTAAGAAAGTTGAAATCATACCTATAATCCTGTCATCAATGGCCGTAATACCGAAAAATCTGGCCCTAAGTTTGGAATCACTGGAAATCAGAAAAACTAAGATCTATGAAATGCAAAAAGCAGTGATACTTCAGAGTTGTAGAACAGTCAGAAAAGTACTAGACTTGAGTTGAGTCTAACCAGTCGTGTCTCTGCCACCAAAAGTGGCCGACACAACTGTGATCACACCGGAACAACCGTGATATACAAAAATAATAATAATAAACTAGTGATGATAATAGCAACTGTAGGGTTAATGTTACCAATAATGTAATTTTTTTTATTGGTTAAGTGTCACTTAACCGGTACTATACTGTACTTATCAAGTGGTATTAGATATCGATTAGCAATACTGTATATATATACTGTATATAAAGTATATATACAGTATATATACATAAAAAAATAAATATAATACTAATACAAACTTATAATAAAAATTGTATCTCTTTTAAGACACTTTCTCTCTAATGTAATAATAATAATAATAATAATAATAAGTGTTAGTAAATAAAAATAACAAAAAAAATATACATAAAATCAAATAGTAATTGACATTTAGTTTATTATAATAAAAGCCATAACACTATATAAACAAAAATAAAAATAAATAAATATATTTTTCTACCCCTTATAAGTGTCTAATTAATTATAATAAATATAAAAATAAAATAAAAATCATTATTAATAGTCTAAATAAAATAATCAACAACAAAAAACTTAATGCATATAACTTTACCAACAAATACCAAAAAAAATAAAATAATTAAAATTAATTAAATTTTTTTTGCACACAAAAAAACTATTTTAACAAAAATAAATATTTTTCTGATATTTATAAACTGTATATCATTTTACAGTTATTTTTCTTCACAAAAAAAATTTCTTAATAAAAAAAACATTTACACAGAAAATGTACTGTTATTTATAAATATATATATAAAATCTCATATAAAATGTCATTGAAGTTATGCCATAGACTTATACTATATATATATATATATATATATATACTGTATATATATATGAGTGCCAAACAAAATGACATGACATGAGAAATAAGTTATTATATATATATATATATATATATAAACTATAAAAATATATATAAATATAACTTATATTAAATGTTTATCTATTATATAGCAAATGTAATATATATTTGTCTGGTATTTATGTTTTGCGGTTATATATACAGTATATATATATATATTATTATTGTTAAGGACAGGTAGTTAGTGACACACTAAAAATACATATACAATATATATATAATACTAGAAAAATATTGATACACAACAACTACAACAACAGTAGCAATAAAACTAATATTAAATGTAATAATAATAATAATAATAATATTTTATATATATATCTATATATAAATATATATATATATATCTATATATACTTCTCCAGGTTTCCAGTTTATGTTCCTCCAGTTCCTCCATCTTAACCAATGGTGACTTATAATATGTACGCAAAATGTTTATAAAGTCGGTTATGGTTAGCATACCGACAAACTCTTGCCTATGACTTTCCCATAGGGGCGCCGCCCGGACACCTATAAAACAAACCAAACAAACAATATATATATTATAATTTTAAAAAAATGATATAATTTTTTAATATATATATTCATATCATATACTGTATATTATAGTAACATACAAAAAATTAGACAATATATATATATATATATATAAATTATATCTATATTGTATTGTATAAATGTTTTTTAAGTTTACATACAGGATATTCACAAAGTTGTAATAAATTAAATAATAGTAATATTAATAATAATAATAATAATGTTGTTATTTGAATATAAATATTGCTATACTAATGTATTATTCATTGATTTTTTAGTATTTTAGATATTTTAGTTTTATTTATCATTATTTATTTATTTTTTTTGTTGTTGTAACACACAAAAAAATCAATTTGTTTCATATAATAGTATCTATGTGTGTATAATGTTTAATATATTTATGTTTTATTACAACAAATTTTGTTATATGACACAAACAAACATACATATATACATACAAACACACACACAACACACACACACACATATATATAAACATATATATATAAATATACATACATACATACATACATACATAAACACATACATTCACACACACATACGCACATACATACACACGTACATACACACATACATACAAACACACACATATATATATAAAAAGATACACACATACATATATACATAGACATACACACATAAACTATATACAGTAACACACATACATACATACACACACACACACACACACACACACACACACACACAAACACACACACTAGAAAATAATATTAATATATAAATCATAGATAAATTATATATATATATATATATTATGTTTTACAACAAAAAATAATTATTACAATATACAGTATTTATTATTTATGTAAATATACTAGCTTTAAAAACCAATATAAATAAATTAAAATAAAATAAATAACTAACTAAAATGTATGTAAATTTAACACAAACACACACAACAAAAAAACATTAATAAATTTAAATATATATTTTAAAAAGATTAAATTTACTGATAGTATAAATATTTAATTAATTATTTATTTATTTTTTGCCTAATTTGCAACTAAATTAAAATTTCTATTTTAAAGTAGGATTTTTTGCTTTGAATATATTTTATATTAAGTTTTTTTTTCAAGTTTTTTATTATCACAGTTGTATAGTACTGTTGTATGCAATTAAAACTCAATTATCTAAACTATAGATCTAAACACAAAAAAAAATTTATTTTTTAGACACAAAAAGATTAAAAATTTAAATATATTAAAAATAAAATGAAAATTTAATTTAAAAAATGCGCTTGATAATCTTATTAACAATAACAACAATAAAATTGTATATAATATATAACTTATAATATAATATATACAGTATATATATATATATATATATATATATATATATATATATATATATATATATATATTGAATATAAAATTTAATTTAATAACAAAAATAAAATTTAATTTAATAACAACAACAACAAAAAATCTTATATCAAAATATATACATATATATAGTATTTTATATATATATTATATACAGTATATACTGTATAAAAACTACTCTATTGTTATTAATTTAAAATATAGTGTATATATTATATATACATAAAGTACTGTATATTCAATAAACCTTTTATATATATATATATATATAGCTTATTGAAAAAAACTAAAAAAATTTCATCTTAAAAACTCAAGTATCTCTCTCTCTCAACTCAAACACACACACACTCACTCACTCACCCACTCATTCACTTCACTCACTATCTAAACGAGTCATTCATAAAAAAAATAAAATATAATAATTTCAAAAACACATATGAGTTTAGCCTAAAAAAATGCATTTAAAAAAATAACAAAATAAATAAATAAATTCAACACAAAAAACCCCTTAAAAAATATCTATTCAATACATTATTTTAATTAATAACAAGTGTTTGTGTGTATTTGATATATAAAATAATTATTTAAAAAATAAATAAAAATAAAATAATTTCAATCTTTAACAACAATAACAAGTACTACTACTACTACTACTACTACTAAAACTAATTATGCATTAATAGTATAATTAAACTAAAAGTTTATTATATAGATAATAAAATATTAATATTTTATAAACTAAAAAAAATATTAGCTGTAGTTGTTATAGGTTTATGATAAGTCTATGTCTATGTATGTATGTGTTTATGTATGTGTTTGTCTATGTGTGTGTGTGTGTATGTGTGTGTGTGTGTATGTGTGTGTGTGTATGTGTGTGTGTGTGTATGTATGTGTTTGTCTATGTGTGTGGGCGTGTATGTCTGTCTATGTGTGTGTCTATAATAGTAATGCTTAATTAAACACACAAACAAATACACACACACACACACTATTAAAAAAAATATTAAAGCTATTGTTTGTATGTATCTATGTGTGTGTATGTGTGTGTGTGTATGTGTGTGTGTGTGTATGTGTCTGTCTATGTCTATGTGTGTATGTATGTGTAGGTCTATGTCTATGTGTGTATGTATGTGTCTGTCTATGTGCGTATGTGTAAGTGTAGGTCTATGTGTATGTGTGTATGTATGTGTCTGTCTGTGTGTGTGTGTGTGTGTGTAGGTCTATGTCTATGTGTGTATGTATGTGTCTATCTATGTGTGTGTGTGTATGTGTAGGTCTATGTCTATGTCTATGTGTGTATGTATGTGTCTGTCTATATGTGTGTGTGTGTATGTGTAGGTCTATGTTTATGTGTGTATGTATGTGTCTGTCTATGTGTGTGTGTGTGTATGTGTAGGTCTATGTCTATGTGTGTATGTATGTGTCTGTCTATGTGTGTGTGTATGTGTAGGTCTATGTCTATGTGTGTATGTATGTGTCTGTCTATGTGTGTGTGTGTGTGTGTGTGTGTGTATGTGTAGGTCTATGTATATGTGTGTATGTGTGTGTGTGTGTGTGTGTGTAGGTCTATGTGTATGTATGTATATGTGTGTCTGTAGTGGTGGTGTCGGTATACTAATATAACCAAAAAAACAAACTGACCATTGCTTAGGAGGGCAAAGAAGGCTTTCTTGACGACCAGTTGTGTGTCAAAGACGACTAATTTGGCACTGACTGGGATCAGGTCATAGCAGCGATAAAATTTGAAAAACTTTACGTAAATTAAGTTTTCGTTTTCTGTTATTTAAAAAAAAAATCAAAAAAAAACAAACAAACAAAATTAATATTTATTTTCAAAAAAAATATAATTAAAATTTAAATAAAATAACCTAGATAACTTACCAATTTCATCGAAATCAAATCTATCACAGATAGGCTCTCCTGAACCAAATAACTATTGAAATCAAATAAAATAAAAATATTAATATTAATTAATTATTTATTTATAATATTTAATTTATATATATAGCAATCAATAATCAATTGTTGCATAATAATAATAATACTGTACTAAATATTTATGTATCATTTTTTTATTTTTATTACAACAATTATTATTATGCAATAATGATAATAATTATTTCATAATATATATATAAAAATAATATAATAAAATCGTAATATATTATTACAGGAAATTAAATTATTTCAAGTTCATTATCATAGAAATATATATATACAATATAAATATATATATATATATATAAATAAATAATTATAATTATATTTTTGATTAAATTAAATTATTCAACAACAATAACAACGACAATAAAAATCTCTACAAAATAATAATAATAATAATAAATAGATTAATTATTTTTGATATATATTTATATATATATATATACATAAAAATATATATATTTGCTAAAATAATTTTTCAATTAATAATGAAATAACTATTTAATTATATATAATGTAATCTCACAATAATTGTTATAAATATAATAATCAATATTAATGTGTAATATCTTTTTTAAAAAAAAAATAATAATTAATGATAATATGGTTTTAATTTTAATATAAAAGTTTTCTTTTCATATAATGATATAAATATTGTAATATATATATATGAAAATTACAATAAAAATAATATAAATCACAGAATATTCTTATGTTTATATGATGTAAATCATTAAACATTTATTTTTTTTACTAAAATTTTATTAAATCTAATAAACAATAAAATATTTTCTAATACTTGTTATAGTTATAAAGCTATTATAAATATATATATATATAAATTAAACAAATTTTAAATATATAAAAAAATTAAAGTAAATATACGTTATATATATACAGTACAATTAGATATTAATAAATATTTTCTAATGTAAATATTTGCAATTTTGTTTATAAAAATAAATAGATTATTTTTAAATCGACAAAAAATTAAATATTTTTATTATCTATTTTTTAAAACAAATAATATCATATATATATATATATATATATATATATATTATAGTAATGCTAAATTAAACACACAAACAGTATTTAAAAAAATATTATAGCTATTGTGTGTGTGTGTGTTTGTATGTATGAATGTGTATGTATATATGTGTATGTGTATGTGTATGTGTATGTGTATATGTATGTGTATATGTAAGTGTATATGTATGTGTATATGTATGTGTATATGTATATGTATGTGTGTGTATATGTGTATGTGTATGTGTATGTGTATGTGTATGTGTATGTGTATGTGTATGTGTATGTGTATGTGTATGTGTATGTGTATGTGTATGTATATATGTGTATATGTATGTGTATATGTATGTGTATATGTATGTGTATATGTATGTGTATATGTATGTGTATATGTATGTATAAATACACTGTGTACAATATATAATACAAGTAAATCAAATAAAATTAAAAAATACTAACAAAAAAAAATATTTAAAAAAAAAATATTTGCATGCTAAAAAATATATGTTTATTTTATTATTAAAAAATCAAACAAACAAACAAAAATCATCAAGCTCATTTACCACAGTTGATTGGGCTTTTAGGAATCGTCGCCTCAATTTACGGACCGCCACTTGCATAGCGGTCATAACCCGAGTAGTAGTCAAAGTTATTGCGGGTGTGGGGTATAGGGGTTAGGGTGTAGGAGATGGTGGAGGACTGGGATTAAAAAATATATCCAAACACAGACACACACAAACAAAATTTATCAATGTCAAATATATTTGTGCGATGATGATAAATTAATTATATTTAGTATATATATATATATTTATTATATATATATGTATGTGTAGAGGGGGTGGGGGGTTAAACTATATAACCCATTGCCTACCCCAACAAAAAAAATTGAACCCACAAACACACACACACATAAATGTCAGGGTCACTTTACTATATATATATATATATATTATATTATATCCATTTAATTTTTTATTTAAATAAAACAAACATTATCATCAACAACAACAATTATTATTATTATATATATATATATTGCAATAATATATTATATATATATATATATATATATTAAACGTATATATATATAAGTAGTCAACAACAATAACAACAATAATAATAATAATTTACATGTTACACAAAATTTTAATAATATATATAACTATTTTTTTTATTTTAAAAATAAATTTTAATATATATATATATATAAAATCAACAAGCAACAATCTCATCACAGTAATCTATCTATATATAAATAAATATATATATTTATATATATATATATATATATATATATACAATATATTTCAGATCAATAGATGTTATTTTATTTTAATTTTTTTATATGTGTATATATTTTTTCATCTCTCTCTCTTTATATATATATATATATATTTATTTATATATATCTATATATATATATATATATATATATATTCAATGACACCAAAGTGAGAGAGAGAGAGAGAGAGAGAGAGTGACTGAAAATAGTTAAAATAATAATAATAATACTTTAATATTATTATAGTAGTAGTAATACTACTACTACTACTTTATATATATATATACATATAGTATATATATATATTACTATATATATATATATATAACTATATATATATATAATTGATTGGTACTAGGCGCATGGCAAAAATTATCCACATATAATAAACATGTGTATATCAATCAATTACGCTATTATATAATATACATAAAAAATATACATGCTACATTTTCATAAATGTCAAAATCAAATGTATCAAGATAATCTATATATCCTATATATATATATATATATAGTAAAAATTATTAATTTATATATTAGTATTTTTTTAAAAAAAAGTATCACTAATAAAATTTTTAATTTTTTAAACTTATTTTTAGCTATATTTACTATAGAATTTTACATTTTTAAAAAAATGTTGTATGTATAAAATTTTTTTTGTAGTATGTTTATAAAACAATAGAGGTCGATACAGTAGCTAAAAAAATTTTAACAAAAAAATTAATTATATATTTATAAAACTATTCAACAATGTATGAAAATATTTTTCAATATGAGAATATTCTAACTATATATATATATTTATAACTAATTTTACATAAAAATATTAATTTTTAAAGTTTTAAAAAAACTATAGAAATATGTTTACAATAAAAATAATTTGCTTAATAATAATAAATAAATAAAACAATATAATATAAAAATAAACAAGCATAATAAATGCAAAAATAACATGTGATATGTGCTAGGTCATTCAACTATTTATAAATTTGTACATGCAATAATAATAATCATAATAACTATTGTATGTATTATATAAACTATAAATTACTATTATATAATAATAATATATTTGTTATATAATATACAATCGATAATTAATTTCTATGATATAATTATAAAAAAAAAATAAAATACTTATATAATCATACTATTAGTTATTAATACTACTATTACTACTACTATTACAGTATTACATATACTACTACTACTACTACTAATAATAATAATAATAATTTTGATAATAATAATAATAATAATGATAACAATACTTACAAAAAAGTTATCATAATATTTGCTGTCAATTGAACTAATAATTGAATCAATAGACATATTTTTAAAAACTAATAAATTAATAATTTTTGACCAATTAGCTAGATTAAAATAAATAAAAAATAACTATAATTATTATGATAAATAGTTTTTAAAAATTTTTTTTTAAGGCTATTTAATAAATAAATATTTTACACACACACACACACACATTAATTTAACATCAAAAAAAAACACAATTAAAAAAAATTAATAAATAGTTGATTATTTACACTAATAGTTATATAATAATAATAATTATTATTATTAGATTATTATATCTCACATGATTTTTTTATATCAAAAAAAAATTTGATAAAAACACTATTATTGACATAAAAACTGTGTTAAAAGTACAGTATATATACAGTACTGTAAATTTTTTTTTTAGGGAAAAATACAAACAATTTATTTTTGTAGATTATATATATATTTAATTAAATATACACTATATTTTTTCAAATGCACTTAAAACTTAAAGTCCAATAGTTTATCAAAAAAAAATAAATAAATATCATAAATATATATATACAGTATAACTGATATCATAACTAATAAATGCAAAATAAAAATATATATATAATAATGTCATAATAATAATAATAATAATAATAATAATACTGTAATTTACTGATCATTAATGATAATGAATTTATATTTTTGTATTAATAAAATAATAAAATAAAATATACTTTTTTAAAAACACATTAATACTGTATATTGTAAATATTGAGTGAAACAAAACAAAAATTATACTAAAAATAAAAATTATTAAATATATTACTAAAATAATCGATAATAATACTAAAAATAAAAATAAAACAAATATAATATCCATACATATAATGTATGAAATAATAAAAAATAATAAATTTATTTATATATATACGTAATTTTATATACTATTAAATTCAACAAAAAATACAGTATATATGATATTAATAACATTAATGTAAACAATATTTTTATTTTTATTTTTGTTATTTAATGCATATATATCATCTCCTAATAAATTATCATGGTTATTTGTTAAGTGACTAAATAATAAAAAAAAATAATAAATTCAAAATATTTCAAAAATTTGATTAATTAATTAATAATAATTTTTTTTTTAAAAATAAATTAATTAACTTTTAAAAATCACATGTTATTTTGTAAAAAATATTTTTATGACATTAATTATTTAGCATCAATCAGCAAGTTAATTAGTTTTATTTTTTAAAATTATTTTTAAATAATTAAATCAATCAAATATTTGTCAACAAAATATTTGTTTGTAATTTTTCATAAAAACAACATCTATCATGTAATGTAAATTTATTTAATTTAATAAATATATATATATTAAAAATGTCAATTCAATGGTTAAACAATCACTATTTAAATAAGCATGAAATATATATATATATACTTTATATATAATTATTGATTGACTAAATTATAATAAAATATCTAATACACACATATACAGACACATACATACACACACATACATACACATACACATACACATACACATACACATACACATACATACACATACATACACATACACATACACATTCACATACACATACACATACACATACACATACACATACACATACACATACACATACACATACACATAGACACACATACACATACACATACACATACACATACACATACACATACACATACACATACACATACACATACACATACACATACACATACAAATACACATACACATACACATAGATACACATAGATACACATACACATACACATACACATACACATACACATACACATACACATACACATACACATACACATACACATACACATACACATACACATACACATACACATACACATACACACACACACACACACACACACACACACACACACATACATACACACAATTGTCTAGACATTAATATAGTTGTGTTTTTTCAAAAAACATGAAATTTAAATCCCAAAATAAATTTAATACAAAAAAATAAATTTGAATAACTTAATTAAAATTAATAATAATAATCATATTTAGTAGACAATTATCATATTATTATTTTAAACTAATAAATAAAATATTAAATTTTTATATATACTGTATATGTTATGTTTAAAAATAAAACACTTTAAACTAAACTAAATAATTAACTAAAATAGTTATTTAAAAAAATTAAAAATTAAAATATTAATAACTATTATTATAATATACAAACCTTAGAGCCTTTAGTAGTCTCGGCACCGGCAGCTATGGAATGGGAACGTCCTCTGAATATATCCATCATACGGGAGACAGCACCGGCCGATCCACTTGAACCGCTACGACTACGCGGACGGCCAGCACTACCGCTGACACTGTCAGCCCTGAACGGACTGTCCAATAGAAACGGATCGAAATGGTTGGGCGTTACCGGACATGAGCTTTGTTTATGATTATTGCTGCCGTTATTATTATTATTACCACTACCGCCACCCCCGCCGCCGCCGCCCAATAGGTTATTCTTGAGCACAGTTATCATTGACGATGTCTTTTTGCCGCCGCCGCCGCCACTACTAGAGCTGCGATGACTATCGGATGTACTGCGCGGCCGAAACGAGTCCAGAAAACTGCTGGACGACGGACTGATACGCTGTCGGCCGACATACTGATGGCACTCATCCTCGCTTTGCCGCCGATTGGCCAGTCGGCCACTGACGCCACCACCGCTGCTGCCCGTCGGTGTTGTAGACAAACCGCTTATCAGTGCCGAGTGGCGGACGTGCGGTGACAGTGATATCGGATGCGACGGTCCGCTCAGTGATCGCATACGCTGTTTGATGCCAACACCACTACCGCCGCTGCCGATAACGTCCAGATGTTCGTCGGGTGTCTGCAATGACAGTGACCGCTGCTGCTGCTGTTGAGCTGATCCGGCCATTATAACGGGTGCACTATTGGGTCCGGCGTCACAATCTTCGGTAATTATACGCGGTATCGATAGTGTCGGCTCCTATAGTGTTAACAAACAAATTAGATATTAATATAATAATAATAATATTAATACTAATACTAATAATAATATTAATACTAATAATAATAATAATATTAATACTAATAATAATAATAATAATATTAATACTAATAATAATAATAATATTAATACTAATAATAATAATAATATTAATACTAATAATAATAATAATATTAATACTAATAATAATATTAATACTAATAATAATAATAATATTAATACTAATAATAATTTTAATACTAATAATAATATTAATATTAATACTAATAATAATATTAATACTAATAATAATAATACTACTAATAATAATAATAATAATAATAATAATAATAATAATAATAATAATAATACTAATAATAATAAACTTAATTTTAGTTATAATAGTAATTACTTTTTTTCTTTTAATTAATTGTTAACTTTTTAAAAAAAAAACTAATTTCAATATTATTTTTACTATTTAACAGTTTGAATGTTTTTATTATTATTTTGTGCAATAATTATATATGTTTGCACCATGTTAATTTTTGTTTAGATTTTTTTTTATCTAGATACAATTAATAATAATAATATATTTATTAGCAATTACTAATACATAATATTACATTATCACTTATATTATAATATGATATTTTTTATATTAATATAAGTCAATGAAAATAATAATATTAATATTAACAATATTATTGTAGGATTTATTTTTAATTACTAATATTTATCACTTTTATTACTAATTTCTAATATATTTTTTCACAAAACAAAAATAATAATCAATAATGAGTTATTAATATTAATAAAATAAACTTTTTTTTAAAATAAATTATTATTATTTATTTTTATTAGGAATTAATCATTTAATATACACTCATATTAATCAACATGGTAATTTACTGGTAAGTTTAAATATAATATATTTTTAAAATATATATATAAACAAAAAAAAATAAATGATTTAACTTAAAACAAAAAAAATCAATTAACAAATTAATACGTATTTAATAATAAATTTAATAAATTATTAGTAATAATACTAATAATAATTTTCTGATAAATATACAACAAAAAATTCTCAACAATATCACACAAAAAAAATTTATTTGTAAAGTAAAACAAATATTAATAGATATATCAAATAATTCAATAAAAATAAATACAAATAATTAAACAAACAATAGCTATAGTGTATAAACTTAAGCCGTTATCTATATGATAGGGAAATATTATTATTATTTTGTGAGATTAGTTTACAGTTAAATCTAATTAATTTAAAGCTAAAAGATATCATAATTTATAAATTATAAAATATTATATATATATATAATTTTATATATGATTTCTATCTCTATAGTGTATATATAAATTCATATAAATACTGTATTATTGTTATAGTTATAAAGTATTGATATAAAAAGTATTGTATAAACATTTACATTACTTGTTTGTAAAGTTTTATAACATATATAATACTTTATTAACTTAATATTATTAAGTGTATGTATGTATCTGTGTGTATGTGTGTGTGAGTATGTTTGTATGTATCTGTATGTATGTGTGTATATATGTTTGTGTGTATATATGTTTGTATGTATGTATGTATGTATGTATGTATGTATGTATGTATGTATGTATGTATGTATGTATGTATGTATGTATGTATGTATGTATGTATGTATGTATGTATGTATGTATGTATGTATGTATGTATGTATGTATGTATGTATGTATGTATGTATGTATGTATGTATGTATGTATGTATGTATGTATGTATGTATGTATGTATGTATGTATGTATGTATGTATGTATGTATGTATGTATGTATGTATGTATGTATGTATGTATGTATGTATGTATGTATGTATGTATGTATGTATGTATGTATGTATGTATGTATGTATGTATGTATGTATGTATGTATGTATGTATGTATGTATGTATGTATGTATGTATGTATGTATGTATGTATGTATGTATGTATGTATGTATGTATGTATGTATGTATGTATATATGTGTGTATATGTGTGTGTGTATATGTTTATGTGTGTATATGTGTATATGTGTATCTGTGCGTGTATGTGTGTGTATTTGTATATATGTGTATGTGTATATGTATGTGTGTGTTAGTATGTATATGTGTATATGTGTATGTGTGCGTGTATGTGTGTGTATGTGTATTTGTATGTATGTGTATATGTGCGTGTATATGTGCGTGTATGTGTGTGTATATGTATGTGTATGTGTGTGTATGTGTATTATAATAGTAAATCAAATCATAAAAAATATTATTAATAAAAAAATTAACAATTTTTAACTAATGGATTAATACAGTTAAAATAATTATTATTACAAAAATCTAACTAAAATGTTATTAACTTTTATAATAATAATAATAATAATAACAATAGTTTTATTTAAAAAAAAATAAATCACAAAAATATTAATATCTTTACAATTACTATTAAAATCAAATATAAAAATATAATAAAATTTTGTATAAAACTAAACTAACAAATTAAAAAAATTAAATAAAATAATTATAAAAAAAAAATTCAAATAACAGCAGCAATTAAATTGCAGTAAATTTGTTTTTTTAAAATAAAATTAATTAATTTTATTTAAACCACTCATTAATTATAGAGTTTTAATTGAATTGAATTTAATTAAAATAAAAATATTTTTTTCAGTGGAAAACCTTTGCAATTATATATAAATTTTATAATTTTTTTACACAAAAATGCAATATTACTAGCAATTTAATTATCAAATTTAATTTAATTTTTATTATTAACTTGATCATATAAATTACACACACACATACACATACACAAATTTTTTAGGTTTTAAATTAAATATTTAAATTTACAAAAATAAAATCAAATTAATAGTCAAAATAAACAGAAATACAGGTTTTATAATCATTTTATATCAATATTTGATTTTTTTTAATAAAGATAAACTCAAATAAAAATATTGTACCTTGATATTTTTTTTTATATAGATATTAGTATTAGAAAATTAGGTACAATATTGATATTAATGGTGTAAAAAAATAGACAATACTTTGTAAAAATAATTTATTTACAATTGATTGGGTTAAACCAAATAAAAATAACAATAGATATGAAAAATTAATTGKTTTTTTGTGTTTACTTGTATGTATGAGTGTGTATGTGTATGTATGTGTGTATGTGTGTATGTATGTGTATGTGTATGTGTATGTGTATGTGTATGTGTATGTGTATGTGTATGTGTATGTGTATGTGTATGTGTATGTGTATGTGTATGTGTGTATGTGTATGTGTATGTGTATGTGTATGTGTATGTGTATGTATGTGTGTGTGTATGTGTGTATGTATGTATGTGTATGTGTGTATGTGTGTATGTATGTATGTGTGTGTGTGTATGTGTGTATGTATGTATGTGTATGTGTGTATGTATGTATGTGTATGTGTGTATGTGTTTGATTTTGACCCGACTATTATTGTATAATGAAAATAAATCACTAAAAATAAAAGCACTTTTATTTTTGTTCAATCAATATGTATAAACAATTTATTTTGATATCTGTATATATATATATACATTATATACTGTATTGATACAATATATATTCATTATAAATCATTTAAATAGCATCCAACTACCAACATAATTAAAATAAATAAATAATAAAAAAATAAACAAATAAAATATAAATTATTTTTTATATATGTTATAAATTACGGTATTGTTGACTAATTAAACAAACAAAAAATAATAGTTTCATTCAATACAATACATATACAATAATGAAAGAAAATAATATTAATTAATTTAATTAAATAGACAAAAAAAACTTTTATATATCTATTCTAATAAAAATAAATATCTAACAAATAATAACTGTTTTTTATATTTATAAAAATAAGTTAATTAATTGGAAATATCTATCATTTAAATCTAGATAATTAACAAAACAAACATATACTGTAATACTTTAATTTTTAAATTAAATACTAAAAACTAAATCTAATTTATAATTTACAAAAAAAACAAATAAATATATTATGTATTATTAGAGAGGTATCAAATAAATCTCAAAAAAATAACTAAAATAAAAACCGTAACCAAACCGTAAACAATTTAACAACAAATCAGTAACAAAATAGCTATTTATTAAATACCTTTATTTTAATTTAAAGAAAAAATAAAATAAGTTAAATATCAAACCTAAAAAATGTAATTAAAAAAATTAGTTGAATTAATTGTAATTAGCAATTAAATTAAACTATCATAAAACACCCGGGTATTTATTATATATACCCTATATATATAAATAATAGATAATTAAACCCTAAATGTGCTGTACATAAAAATACAGTACTTATATTATGTAAATTTATATTAAAATACTTTATTTTTAACTAATAATCGGTTAAGTAATTAATTATTACTAAACATATGACATTAATATATGCATATAATACACATACAAATATTTATTATAATATAAATAATGTGAATTTGATTAAAAATTRAYTCAATATTTTAAATGTCRAGTACWAAACACACATATAAACATACATACACATATATATACAGTATATACACACACATACACACACAATATTTTAAATGTCAAGTACTAAACACATACACACACATATATACACATACACATACACATACACATACACATACACATACACATACACATACACATACACATACACATACACATACACATACACATACACATACACATACACATACACATACACATACACATACACACAGTACTGTAAAATTAATAATAAATAATATGCAAATAAGTAAATAATTTATGTGTTAAATAATAATATAGTTTTTTGTGTGGAAAAAACAAACAAATAATATTAATAAAAAAAACTTTTGACATAATATTAAATATATTAATATTAATAAATTTATTATATATTATCTAAAAATTATATATATTCATAAATTAATAAATTGAAATTGAA